CAGAATATATTTTGTTTCCGGGAAAAAAATAATAAATTTTAATCAGTATTTCCAAATGTTCTTCTGATTGCCAAGAATTTTATATTATTGTTAGAAATTATAGGTTAAAAGTTCTTCTCAAGCAGTTTGTGGGAAGCCCAGGCCTCCTTAGCTTCGTTGACAAGGGTGTTGACGATTTAAGGTCTCCAGCCTGCCCTGAGAGATCACTTATATCGAACAGCAGATGAAAAGCCAGTGCAGATGTAATTTATCGTCGGCGTTTCCTTCTAAAGAATAATTGTGGAGACTTGGCTGGATCAATAATATAGATTTTTGTTGTTAGGTCTTGTAGTCTGCACCATAATGAGAGATAGGGGACAGTGGCTGTTTTCTAATAGAAAATAAAGGATTCGTTTCCGTGTCTTTCTACATTTGAATGCAAAATGGCACACTTGAAAGTAATTCAAGTTGTACAAAGAGGAGTCTCCCATTATATCTCTACTATCATATAAATATGGCATACGGAATCAACCACCTCTAAATTCAGAAAATTTTACATTTAGTTTTTTCTTAATTTTTTTTTTTCTCAAAAAAATACTCCGTTTGCCTGCTGATCAGCGTTAACATACCAACCCACTCCGGAGGGGGGGGGGAAGAGGCAAGTGAAAATTCGGTTTAGGATGAAAAACAAATCAAGCCACCTAGGTAAATATGACATACGATACATTGGAGACAAACATCCTAAATGAAATCCTACACATCAAAAAATCAAGGTCACTAATGTATCAAGAATCAAATCACATGGAAAATTAATAGTTTTTCTTTTTGTTTGTATAAATCTTAAAATAGGGAAAGGAATAAAAATCTGTGCAGCATATATGTAAATATGCAGCATGTATACATGTGGAAAATAGAAATCTTAAGAGGGCTTTTCTTTGCTTGTTCATGTTTTTATTTTATAAGATGTGGGTCACAGAGAAGTTCATGAATGACAGAAAGGAAGAATACTTGAATCCAAAAGTCCTAAGATTGCTCTTTCCTCATTAGAAATGTTGCTTATTGAATGATGCAGCACGGACACTCCCGCTACCACACACCACCAGATGCGTGTGTGGTGCTGCAGGACACCCACTCCTTGTACACACAACAGGCAGCACCCACAGGCCCACAATGAGGAATTGATTGGAGGGAACGATTTTGCCTCAACATAGAAAACTATGTTAATATTAACGAGCAAATTGTCTCATGGGATTTAAAAAAGTCTACTTTCAGTGTTATTTAATTGATAATATAGCTAGTTAGAAAGATTTATTTCAAATTGATTAAATAATTAAATGAGTGATTATAATTAAACTTTATTCTTCATAGCCCATCTACTCTATTCTTTCTATATTGAAATCATAATACCAAGAAATAAACTCAGCTCCAAAATAGGAAAGTAAAGATCACAAAAATATTGAAATTCAGCCTTAGTTTTAAAATGATAATGATGAACATTTTAACAGACCCTTAGGGAATACGATTAAGCATAATTTGGTTAATCTTATTTATGTATATGCGTTTGTTGATATTAGGAAAGCCAGTAATGTTCTTAAGTAAAGGGAAAACTCTTGTGAATACTGAAGTTATTCTCCCTATATATACTATTTATTGCAGCCTTAAAAAAGCAATTATAATTTCCGAAACCCCACAAGTTCAGTTTCTATTATGATATACCAAAGTGATTTGGAACAACACAGGCTGACTCTGGCCAGACTCTTGAAAGACTTGTTGCATTAAATGTCTAAATGAGTAAAGTAGATAAAGATAGATACAAATGATTTATTTGATTTCTGGAAAAGCATTTTATAATTTCACTGAATCTCTCTAAGGTTAGCATTTTTCTTCTACTTTGCCCTTCTTTGTGAGTCTTATGGGATGATCTGCCTAGCTGGCCAGCACTTACCGCCTAAATATGCTACAGTAGAAAGATAGATTGCATTTATAAACTGTAGGGGAAATGTTAGCTTGTATAAAAATGCTTTAAAAAATGAGTATTTGCACACATTTAACAAATACTAAGTCTGCCAAATCTGTCTCTAAGTGTTGCAGAGGTTTCCAATCCAAAGCTATCATTAAAGATGAATAGTATGAATTTTTGTACAATTTCGTCAGCAATCCCTAGACTTCCCTTTTTATACCGTGAAAGTGAGAAACATAAACAGCATTGGATTGCTATCGGTAGTAATATAGCTTTTATTGTTACTTGGGATCTTCAACATGTTCAAGGAAACCATTTAATTCATGTTATTAAGAAGGAAGTGATTAAGGAAGACCCTAATAGAATCAGGTAGAACCAACTGAATATCCTTAAGTTGTTGGAAAATTCAATATGTTTTATTTAAGCAGAACCATATATACTGTGTATTAACTATTCTAAGCAATCTTTACTCAGCTCAGAAAGGCCAGATGTATGGGAATTGTAAAAAATCAGGATATGCATAAAAACTGTTCAAGTGCATAAAGCAGCCCCATCTGGAAGACATCTACCAGAAATGAAGTTGTACAAAACCATTCCATTGATAATAAAGCTAAGTTTTATGGGTCTGACAAGTATGTAATTATGTTCAGTGGTGCTTTTCAGATTTTATCACAGTCAATAAACTGCAGTGGTAATTTCATTCCCATTTGACATATTTACATGGAAACATTTGATTGGAGGAATTAGTAACCCTGAAAGCCTTGATAGATATGTTTTAATGATCTGTGACCTCCGCAGTCCCTCATCTGTTTATTGTTGCAACAGGCGAGAAGTCGTTTCTGTGTGACCTCTGCGGCTTTGCCGGAGGGACCCGCCACGCCCTCACCAAGCACCGCCGGCAGCACACAGGTCAGTTCCGCGTCTGCACTGGCCCCTTATCTGCAGAGAGGACAGCAAGACGGTAGATACCCAGCCTCAATTCTTGATGTCATCAATTACTTTCGTTTTTTAATTTTTATAACATCCGTGTACTTGAAGGCCTACAGATAATTTCAGTTGAATAACGTAAGATTTTAAGTCATCTGTTTTTATATATTTAAAATGTAGACCTATTCCATATTTCAAGAAGCAGGTACCGTTAGTAAATTCATGTTAAGTAGAAGTAAAACAGCAGGTTGGCTTCCAAAGCCCAGATATAGGAGACTATTTTCTCTGTTGGCAAATCTCTGCTTTGGGCCTCGTGGGTGGAAAATGGGGAGTCTTTGTCAGCCCCTCTCCCTTTCAGTCATTCTCTCTACCCACCTAGTAGCTAATCACCCGCCTCCTTATTTAGGTAGCTACGTGTCTCCTCCCTTCCTCCCTTTTTCTCTCTTCCTCTCTCCCTACCTCCCTGTCTCCCTCCCTAACCGCCTGTCCATCAATCCACCTGTGTTTAGGTAGGATTTGAAGTCAATGCTGTTTCAATTGTTCTTGGTATTAAAAATGGAAAACAACAAAAAGCAACATCAGAGTTAATTATGGTCATTGAAGTGGGCTTTTTCCTCCATGATTCAATGAAATAAAATAGATTCCTTGATTAGAAGCTATATTGGTCCATTTTAACACTGCTGATAAAGACATACCCGAGACTGGGCAATTTACAAAAGAGAGTGATTTATTGGTCTTATAGTTCCACGTGGCTGGGGAGACCTCACAATCATTGGTGGAAGGTGAAGGGCACTTCTTACATGGTGACAGACAAGAAAAGAGAGCTTGCTCAGAGAAACTCCCCTATTTAAAACGATCAGATCTCATGATACTTATTCAGTATCACGGGAACAGCACAGGAGAGACCTGCTCCCATGATTCAGATACCTCCCACTAGGTCCCTCCCACAACATGTGGGAATTTAAGATGAGATTTGGGTAGGGACACTGCCAAGCCATATCAGGAGCACTTAAAGCTGGAAAGTGTGAAACATTTATCAAATTGTATTACCTACTTTATATAATCTAATGGGTCTAATAAGTAATTATTTTCATAGTACTAATTTATGTATGCCTAGGACAGTGCTGATTTATGGTGATTTCTTATAATTATTAATAGAACCACTTTTTACTCTAAACGTTTCCTAGTTCAGATGATAAGTCACTTGATGACAAAATTGGTAAATAAATGTCCTACTTTTCTTTAGGTCTCATGAGAATGGTTGAGTTAGTCAGTCATACTCAAAATGGCATGAAATTAAAATATATAAAATGTGTTATTTATGGTACATTATGATTCTTGATATGTTGTATTTAACAATTAGGTATAGGTAGCTTCAATGCCCAATATGGTATTTGCAATATCAATGAAAATGAATGCCAACCATTCCTTTTAGATGTGTGAATATGATTCAGATTTTCATAAGGGATATGAGTTATTATTGCGTCAATGCGAAATTTCAATGTTTAGCATGATATTGGAAACATAAACTAAACTTTGAAAACAAAGTTCATTTTAAGTTTATGGGAGCTGCCAGTGCATGCATGACTGTAATCCACTGGCTGAAAGATTCAGTGGAAGAGATGACAGGAGGGGCCCACTTAGTGGTAATTGTTCTTGACCACTGTTGTAATGAAGTTGGAAATGTGAAATATTTATGTTAACAGTGTGCTCATGAGGGCTTTTTTATTCTTAATGTTTCATTTTATCAGTGCTCAAATTGTTGCTATTTAAATGCCATTGAAGTTCACCTTGTCCCACCTGGTATGGCCCCAGGAAACATCAGGCTGCTGTGCCACTTCAGCCAGTGGCAGGTCAGTGCCCATTGCAGTGCAGACAGGAATGCTGTGATCACAGGCGTTCCCAGTGATGGATCGATTAGGATGCCTGCATTGAGCTGGCACAACTTTATATTTTATGTCAGGTCCAGAGACTCCTTATTACTTTGCTATTAACTTTATACTATATAGGACAATGTCTCACAGACAGGGGCATCTGTCTTTTTGGCATTTATCTGCCTCTGTGGCACAAATCAAACATGATTCTTTAACACCAAAGTCAGTTCTTAAGACTGTTAGCTTCAACAAAACAGCTTAGCACAACTCAGTCTAGGCACGTAACTTTTATGCTGGATTTAAAATATTTAAGCAACACACAACCATTTTCCCCCAAGGCCAGACTTGTATGGCACATTTGAAATCTATATTTCTCTGATGTATTCCTTTTTGACATGGTTTACCTTTTTACTGCGGAGTACTCACGCAAATTATAATCAGCTTGGAAAGGGATAGGTATCAAAAGTGCTCCAAATGGTGTAAATAATTTCTCACCACGATACAAACTGTCCAGGGGGCTGACAAAAAACATCTTCCATTCTGAGATTTACTTGTATCACCTGTCAGAGACCCTTGATTCAAGGGCACAAGAGCAGATCTTCACGTGTAGTTAAACAGTCTTGGCCAGCTTAATAACCACGAGGCCACCCAAAGGAATGTGACTGTGTGTTTCCATGAGAAGCGGTCAGCCCGACTGACGGACAGTTGACACACAAAGGACACTGCACTGTGATGACAGCCCTTCTACTGTTCCTTCTCCGGCTTTCCTTGTCAATGGGGCCTCAGATGCAATATGTTTCTTAATGATTATTTTAGCCAAGATTGCTGCCTGTAACAGAAAGTGTGAAAAGCAACAGAATTTAAACTAACAGGTACTGTTACGTAAGAGGGAAATAGGAGGAAAGGAAATCTCCCCTTGTTCTGCTTTTTTGTAAAGCATATGTACAGGTAGCCCTAGTGACTTACAGATAACATTGTTTGAGAGTAGTGAATATCTTAGATTTATTCATCCTTTTGCCTTTGAGATGACAAAGGATTTCAAAGCAGCACCTTTGCCAATATGCACCAAACCTGTTTGATCAGTCTACTGTTAGTATTTTTTCCTTAACAGGAAATGTATATATGTCTTCATATAATGTCTTTATATAATGTATATCATCTTCAAACCATTAGCAAATATTTAGCAAACTTAAATTCTTATTGCAAATTTTTAAGATTTTCTTTCAAACTTAGGTGTAGAAGCCAGGTTTATATTTTTGGGTATATGTTGAGACTAACAACCGCAAAACTCCACCTGTATTTCTGTAGTGTATTTTCCTGAAGAAAGTACCCATAATAGAAAAAAAGAATTATCAAATTATATATTAGAGTAATAGTGTTGAACATGTAACTGATTGATGAGTTTCAGATTAACTATTATGTACAGATTTCAATAATCTGTGGTTGTATAAATTGACATGGACTTAACTATCAAGAGCCCAGGTATGTGAGCCTTGCTTAGCATAGTATTTTATGTAGCATGATATTTTTGTAGCATTATATTTTTCCCTGTCATCCTGTGTATAATTCAAACTTGTTTAATATTATACAACGTAATCTATTGTGTGGTCAAAGAAAATATGAAAAGACCATTTATAATTTATTATAATATCCTAGGTTGATGTGAACTACAGAGAATTTATGTGACATTTTTCTTTAAAAGGATTGTTTTTAAATTTAAATTTTGTCACGTAAAGATTTTCATGTAAGTTTAAATAAAATGAACTACATTAAACAGAGTTTTTAAAGAGATTATGTTAAACTGTGAAACCAAGAAAATTAAGTTCAAAGATTTTAGATGACCTTTAATTTGTACCATTGACTTAGGCAATGGAGTTCATGGTGTCACCCTTTTACCCCACTTCAGATATCAGCAAAATCTATGAAAAATGGATAGTTCAAAGATACCTACCAAGACTGTTACAATAAGGAAAATAGCAGTGAGTTATGATGCCAGAACATTTTGTAAACAGTTAGATTGAAAGGAATAAGGAGACATCAGAATATATTTGTGAATTTGCATAATGAATAAAAAATTTAAACTGCTTGACCATGTAGATTTATTATATTAAAAGTAGAAGGTTTATACTACCTACCTAAGTCTTATTATACAGCTACCATAGTCATAGTAGTATTTTGGAGGTATAAAGATGGACACATAGACCAATGGAACAAAATAGCATCCGGGAATAAAACTGTACATTTATTTGTCAATTGTTTTTAAGTAAGACACCATATTTAAAGATAAATTTAGCAAATGATGTACAAAACCCTTATGGTGGAAACATCAGAATACTGCTGAGAAAAATGAAAGAAGACCTAAACAGAGTGATATACCATGTTTATAGATTAGACAGGTTAATATTGTTAAGATTTCAGTTTCCTTCACATCAATCAATCTAAATCTCATCTGGCTATTTTTTTTAAAAAGATATTGACAAGCTGATATTAAAATTTATATGGAAATTCAAACACTTGAAATAAGTCACTAACATTGAGAAAGAACAAAATAGGAGGACTTACACTATTTGATGTTAAGACTTCTTATAAGGTTGCAATGAGAAAATCCTTCTGGTATTGTTATCAAGATAGACAAATGTTTATCAGTGGAAGAGGATGAAGATTACAGAAATAGACCTACACTACATGGTGAATTGTTTTGTTGTTGTTGTTGTTGTTTTTCACAAAGGAGTAAAGGCAATTTAGTCTTTTCAACATTCTATGTTGTAACAGTCGGACAATTGGCTATCCATGTTCAATGAAAATGAACTTTGACCCATACTTCATACTATATACAAAGATTAACTCAAAATGATGATAACCTAAATATAAAGCTTAAAACTGTATAAATTCTAGAAGAAAACATAAGTAAAAATTATGTCTGGCCGGGCGCGGTGGCTCAAGCCTGTAATCCTAGCACTTTGGGAGGCCGAGGCGGGTGGATCATGAGGTCAAGAGATCGAGACCATCCTGGTCAACATGGTGAAACCCCGTCTCTACTAAAAATACAAAAAATTAGCTGGGCATGGTGGTGCGTGCCTGTAATCCCAGCTACTCAGGAGGCTGAGGCAGGAGAATTGCCTGAACCCAGGAGGCGGAGGTTGCGGTGAGCCGAGATCGCGCCATTGCACTCCAGCCTGGGTAACAAGAGTGAAACTCCATCTCAAAAAAAAAAAAAAAAAAATTATGTCTGACTTTGAGTTATTAATGATTTCCCTTTTTTTCTTTTTCTTGACACAGAGTCTTGCTCTGTCACCAGGCTGGAGTGCAGTGGTGCAACCTCAGCTCACTGCAACCTTTGACTCCCTGGTTCAAGCAATTCGCCTGCCTCAGCCTCCCAAGTAGCTGGGATTACAGGTGCCACCATGCCCAGCTAATTTTTGTATTTTTAGTAGAGACGGGGTTTCACCATGTTGGCCAGGATGGTCTCCATCTCCTGACCTCGTGATCCTCCCACCTCAGCCTCCCAAAGTGCTGGGATTACAGGTGTGAGCCACCAAGCCCGGCCCAATGATTTCTTTGATATGCCATCAGTAGCCTGATTCATAAAATAAAAAACTAACTTGAAAAATTATGCTGATAAATTGAAAACTTTGTAAAGTAAAAGTTCTCTTCAAAAGGCGCTATGAACAGAATTAAGACAAATGATAAAGTATATTTAAGTGACAAATTTTATAATTTTTATCCAGAATATGTAAAGAACTTTCAAAACACAATTCTGAGGAAACAAACAACCATTTATAAATGAGTCACAAAGTTGAAGCAGATATTTCCACAGAGAATTTAAAGGTATGGCAGATGAGCACATGGAAGGGTCCTCAGCACCCTCAGAGGAATGCAGGTGTAAAGCGTTCACTACGACAAGTGTTGGCGGGGCTTGATGCAAGTCATACGTCGCTGGTAGGAATGTAAAGTGCTCAAACCACTTTGTGAAACAGTGTGGCAGTTTCTTACCCAAATTGAGGAAATATATATTCATATAATGACTTGCATATGAAGGCTCGGAGCAGATTTATTTGTTGTAGTAGCCAAAAATGGAAACAACTCAAATGTCCTTCAGTAGACAAATGGTTAATCAAACTTGGTACACCCATGTAATGGCATACTGCTTGGCAATGAAAATAAATGAAGTAATTATACTCATAATAGCATAGATGAGTCAGAAAATAATTATGCTGAGTCAAAGAGTCCAGACAGTAGAGAGTTCATGCTATATGTATCCAGGTATATAAATTTCTAGGAAATACTGACTAATACAGTAGTGACAGAAAGCATGGTGGCTTGACAATGGGATGAGCAGGGAACCAGGAAGTTAACAGGACTCCTTCTGGGGATGATGGTTGTGTTCATTATCTTGATTGTGGCAGTAGCTTCATCAGTAACAAAACTTATCAAATGGAAGTTTTTGTATGTCAATTATGACTCATTGAAGCTGTTTAAAATGCTTTATACATTCGGCCTCATATGGCCAGTCTAGACAGATATAGGTCAGGTTAGTACAATAATTTATAATAAGTGTTGTTTTATCTAGACCAGTGCTTCCTTTGTGTTTCTGTTTTTATGTGTGCTACACTTTGACATTGGTGTGCATTAAATTACTACTCATTTGTTTAAGTGAACAAATCAAATTGTTTTCAGATATGCTGTGTGGATGTTCATATTCCATGATACAGAATATTCCTGTGTCAAATTTGAGTGGCTTCAACTCTTTTCCTTTACTCTTATTCAATATCAATGTCACAGATTTTCCACTAAATTAAAGCAAAATCTGCCATCATTGTAAAAGTCAATTTTTGTGTAAGTCATTTCAGTACAATTGAGTTGTCTATAGCTATTTAAGTCATTTGACCAGAGGTTTAGAAACTGAGAACAAAGAGTTATTCAAGCAGACCTCCGGTACCCACATGAGTGGGGTGCTATAGATGGGATTTATCTTGTAAACAAAAGGCTAGAAGAGACGAAAATACCTTTCAGTTCAGATTTTTACTCTGCTTGGTATATAGTCTTAAAAAAAAAAAAAACAAGAATAAGTCAAATATTTCCTAGTGGGATGTGTTCAATAATATCTTTCTGTCATATTCATTAACTGTGTACAACCATGAATTATTTTATATTTGCTAGCCATTCATCTTTTTCCTGGTTATAAGCTCTTGATGAGAAGCATTTGTGTGCTCCTTTCACCTCTGGCAGAGACTTGTTGGCCATTGTCAGTGTTGAGGCAGTTCTGCCATCATAATGATAAAAGCCACAGGCTACTGAGAACTCTGCACTAAGTGTGCTCTTTCCATATTTTTTGTTGTCTTTAATCCGCACAATTACCCTGCATGTTTGGTAGTGTTATTCTCATGATGTTGTTCAAGGGGTCTAATAGGTAGAAAGTGAAATATGGCAAAACTGGGATCAGAATTGAAGCCCATCTGGCTTCATCTAAGCACTGTGCTGCAATGAGAGAGAAAATACCACCAAATGAGTTGTGTATGCATTCAGTTAAATGTTACTACAATTATGGGTAAGCAGTGTAAATAGACACAGAATGTAGGGTGAACTTCTAAACGTTCTAATTTTCAGATGGGATTTTACTGATAGCCAAATTGATAGAGAGTAATTTTAAACTAAGATATTTTGCTCCCCATTTTCTAAGTAAGTCAGTATACTCATACAGCTATCACAAAAACATGGAAAGTAAGAGTAGAGTTATTGAATAGATGTAAAACTAATCCATGTAATATGTAAAATTTGCCAGGAAAAATGTTGAGAAAAATATTACTATACATTATTTTTTTGAGACTAGAGGAGTGAGGTTTTCTCTAAATCTTACTGTCCAATACAAATGTAATGTGACCTATACATGTATAATATTATTTCCTGGTAGCCATATTTAAAAAAAGGAATAGTAACAGGTATAACCATTTTACAAAAGTTAATTTAACCAAATTCAAATTATAATTTCTACATCAATTCAACATAACATTTTTAATGTTATTTTTATTATAATCTTTGTACTATGATTTTGAAATTTGGTATTTTACAATTTAGAATATCATCATTCAGAGGCTAAATTTTCATCTGAAATATATGGTCAATATTTAGATTTGATAAAAGTTACACTTCAAAAAGTAGATTCACATTCCCAAGCTGTTCCAACCATATTTAAGATTTTTTCAATAGCTGAGTATCAGTTTTTACATTTAAATTTACATTAATTAAAGTTAAATATCCGCGTTTTCGGTGCCTATAGCCAGTGGAATTAAAAGCTGGTAAGACTCAGTAATTCTTTGAATGTGTGTGGGGTAGGGAGGAATTATTTAAAAAAGAGGGAGGTGTCAAATGAAGGAAATACTTTGTTCAAGATACCAGTATTCTGTTTCACTCTCTTCATGTCCTCTGCAAGCCATGAACTTCTCATGGGTAGAAGGGTTACATTTTATAAGCACGTTTACACACACACAGAGTCACACATCACGTTACCTTTAGATCAACAGACCACATACGCAGTATGAGATCATGATGCTGTACTTTTGCTGTACCTTTTCTGTGTTTAGATGTGTTTAGACATGCAGATACTTATCATTGTGTTGCAGTCGCCTGCAGTATAGTAGCATGCTGTACAAGTTTGTAGCCCAGGGACAATGGGCTACACCGTCTAGCTAGGTGTGTAGTAGGCTTTGCCGTCTAGGTTTGTAAAGTCACTGCAGGATGTTCTCACTACAATGCAATCACCTAATCACACATTTTTTAGAACCTGTCCCTGCCATTAAGCACTACATAGCTGTCTGTCTGTCTATTTACCTATGTCTGTCTGTCTATTTACCTATCTATCTGTTATAGCTACATGGGGTTGGTATATTTTAATGTGGTATTAAATATTCTAAATATTTATTTGGGGTCTCTTTTTACTCCGCTTAATATAGTGTATTTTTTTGTTGTTGTTGCTTCGGACACTTTTTTAAGTGCTGCCCATTTATAGCTTGATTCTATTTATTTTTCTTCATATCTAATGTTAAGATTTTACTAAGTAGTTTTATATTATATATTCAAACTATAACTTTGATATATGCTATCCTTGGTCTTAACCTCACTGAGATTTTTGTAATGGCTCTAATGTAACATAGTTTGTTACACCATTTTAAATACAGTGCTGAACCATACCTAGAATTTAGATTCCTGTTTATGTAAAATAAATTTTAACCATATAATATATACGTTGCTTACATTCTAATATAAAAACCAAAATCAATGATATCTTCTAATTTTCTCACTCTGAAATAAATATCCAAATGTCCTAAATGTGTGGAGTCCATTGAATCATATTCTTGACATTTCATGGAAATACGTGTTTTTTAAATTGTCAATACCAAGTTTATTCCTTCATTTTCAGTTGTTATTATTATTCATCTATAACATTTCTTGATATATTACAGGAGAAAAACCTTTCAAATGCGACGAGTGTAACTTTGCCTCCACAACCCAGTCTCATTTGACTCGGCATAAACGTGTACACACTGGAGAAAAGCCCTACAGATGTCCCTGGTGTGACTACAGGTAATGACTCATCACTGAGCAGTCAAATCAGGTGGGCCGCCACGATGGATTAAAAGCCTGTTAAATACCAATTACAAGTATAGTTTTTCTAATCACCATGAATTCATATGTTAGGTTGGGAGTTTATTTCCTAATTTTAGTGACTTTTAAAAAATGAACTATTCTTTAGAGTGGTTTTAGGTTCACAGAAAATCGAGAGGTTGGTACAGAAATGGGCCGTGTATTGCCCAACCCCTACATGTATAGCCTCTTCCATTATCAGCGTTCCCCACCAGGTGGTACATGTGTTACAGTTGATGAACCTGCATTGACATTGTTTAACCCAGAGTCTGTATTTTCAATTGGGATTCACTCTGTATGTTGAACATTCTGTGGATTTCGACAAATTTATAGTGACATGTATCTACCATTATAATATCACGCAGAATTTAGTTACTGTTTAAAGAAATAACATCCTTTTCCATTTTCTATAATCTTAACGTTTAGATTTTATGCTTTTTTCTTATAACTGCATTTCCAATGATTTTATTGCATTTCTCAAAGTAAGGAAACAATTTTAGTAATCAATTATTCAACCCATTTATGGTACTTTATTTATGAATAAAGCACTCATTAATGACAAGGGAGATGATACAAGAAACATTTCCCTTTAAGAATATAGCATAAAATGTGACTCAATATTTATAAGTAATTATAATACAGATTTGAATGGGAAACGGGAGAGACCAGGAAAGGACATAAATGATTGTGTGGAGCCCAGATGAAGTCCTCACAGAGGAGACAGCATCTCAGCTATGGTGTGAAAAATGGTAAAATTATTTCCAGGCCCCAGTCAATGTGTGTTCTAAAATGATGAGGAGGGGATGACAGCATGTAGAATGTTAGTACTGAAAGCACCTTGGAGGTCGTGGATGTTCAGTCTGCTCACTTGCATCCACAGTGGCTGAGTGATGTCTGCCAGGTTGCAGAGTTACCTAGTGGCGGCAGCGAAGCCTTGGTGCAGAGGAGTGTGAGATATACTCAGGCAATGCTAAATTGTCCTCTCAAGTACATGATAAGGTACTTGTAGAGAGGCGTAGTGGAAGATCAGGTGCAGCATGGAGCTTGCAGCCAGGTCACATTGTGCCTGAAGCCTGCAAGAGTGAGATTGGACCCCATGTGGTGGTCTGTGGGACCCCACATAGTTTGCAGACAGCTGAATGACATCTGTCTTAAGCCTGAACTCAAGGGTGAGAGCCTTCCTTATCCTGGAGCTGAAGATCTCCATTGTGCCTGACCCACATGATTACATAAAATTGAGGTTGCATCTTTAAATGCAGCCCATTTTGTTGAATGTTATAATATGTATGTTAAGCCTGAAACCTTTAAAAAGTAGATTTTTGTATTCCTGTGGATCTAGCCTATGCATTTAGCAAATATATTGCCATAATCTCTATTATCAGCCACATTATTACATTAAGTTTTATGTGAAAGGTCATTGTATAGTGCAGAGATATTACAGATATATTTTATTCATTAATTATTCATTCATCCAACATTTTATGAGTTCTGTCTTTGCTTAACACTGGATTGGTGTTTCTTGGAAATTTGGTAAAATGATGATTTAATTAGAGGTAGACACAGAAATTCTATACTGCTGAAAATATGAGTTCTTTAAAAAACAAACATTATTGAATATTCTTTTTCCTTATTAAAGAGATCATACTGTAGTTGGCTTTCCTGTAAAACACAGAAAAGCAATTAGAAAATATAAGAATTTCCTTTAATTTTCACCCTTACCTCTTAGGATTATACTCATTCAGTTTGTACTATATGCATAAGGTTTTTATTACTGTTGTTGGGGGTGGGATTTTTTTGTTTCAGTATATGTTTTATTTTTTATACTTAAAAATTTATAAATACCTTTCCATGTCAGTAAGCATTTCCCTATATAACTACTATATCGTCTTCAAACTTTTATTTTTAAGTAGCAGGATTCTGATTTCAAACAAGATTATATCTGAAATTCCACAAATAAAATAGATGAAAGTGATATTTACCCACTTATAAGTAGATTTCACCATTAAAGTCTGTATGTACTTATTACAACATTAAAAATAGCGTAAGACTGTTTTGACAAGCAACACATTTTTAAATAGGAGGAGCTGTTGATAACAGTTGCCAGTGAGTCGCAGCATCCAGTTTCTGTCTGCGTTTGGTGTAAGCACAGCACGGGGCGTCATGAGGAGTTCAAGCCACATGGAGAATCTAGGCTCAGCACTCCTTAGCTGTGGGACCGTGGTCAGACTATTGAGTGAAATGCCACTTTCTCATCTGTAAATTGTGACTTCTTAGTGGACCAGCCTCGTAGGATTATGGTAAATATTAGGTGAGAAGCACTTTGAAGTCACTTAGCCAGAGTCTGGCACCTCAGTCGCTTGATGAACGCTCGCCCTTGTTTTCGCTGTCATCTCAGGTGAATGTTTTATCGTGGTTTCAGGTTTTCCTTCACCTTTCCATCTCAGGATACTGCTCAACAAGTTAACGCAGGAGTTTCAATGTCCTGAAGGTCTTCAGTGTGTTAAAATGTCATTTACAATACATGCCAATATGTTTTTTTTTTTAAAAAAAAAAAAAAAGAAAGAAAGAAAAAAACAGTTTTGAAGCAGTTAAAAATGTATTAAATCCAAAATTAATTGTTGGATAATAGCTGAGAATACAGTTTCAGAATGCCTGGTTTTTAAACTGTTTGGCAATGTAACTTTAATCTGTGCCTGGCCCCAAGCTACATTGATGCACAATAATGAATTTATTAACGTTTTAGACATATAGGCCATTTTTGGGCTTTTACCCTGAAAAATGCTTACATCTTTGTGCATGTTCCTGATTTTTTTTAAGTGCATTTCTAGAAGCACAATTTAAGGCTTTTGCTAGTATGACTGGAAAGGTTGTGAGTTTTTTTCCCTCTGATCTGTACTGTGCTTTGGTCGACTCATTTATGCATACAAGTATTTCACAGTATTTCAGGTTTTCTTGGTTTAAAAATGTATTATACTTTTTGCTAAGGTTGAGGTCATATTACTCATCCCCTATTCAAGTTATCTCTGTGAAATAGCCTCCCTTCTGTAGAGGGCTGCATCTGAGCCAGCTGGATCCCATCCATGTTAGAACTCTGTCAGGTACTACATTAAAAAGCTGGTGTTTTCTAAGTACATTGTTACTGTTCTGTAAATAAAAGACTTAGGATATTTAAATCCAGTGAGAGCTACCAAAGTTCCCTTGGAAATGCTTAATGTGCATTATAAAAGAATAAGTTGTAATCTTTATTTAAAACTTTTGAATAATTTGATTATTACTGAAAGTGAATGATTTGAGCACTTTCTGTTCATGGGACAGCTTTACCATTCTGTGTACCTATGAATAGGCTTTCTTTTACTAGTGAACAAAAGGCAAATTAACCTTGACCAGGAATATAAAATATTTGCAACCGTTTGAATTCTTCTGAAGTGAGAGACTATGGTTAGAACAGATTTGGTTAGATCTTTACTTTCTTGTTGATGAAAAAAAGATTTAAAATGAATAAAGTTTCCAAAGATTATTTTTGTTGTATAAGATAGTGGGAACAAGATCCTGTATCTACCTCACAAAAGTATATTCTTTCACAGCACAAATAAATTGGAATGTGTATATTTTCATAGATTTAATAAATCTTTAAGATGATCACATATTACCAAAGAAGAAAATTATTTATTTTCACATTTATCTCACTGGTTTATTTCTGCAATATTTTACTGTTCAAAATATTTTAAAACTTCTAGTTTTATGTTTTTATTTGTATGATATCAATAGATAAAAATTATTCCTGTGGAGCATTCCTGTATTTGCCATTATTAGCACTTATTTGCAGGCAGGTTACCATCATTAGAAACTGAAATATTATTTAAATTTCATTTGAAAATATATTTCTCATTTTATAAATTGAACATTGGGGGAGAAATACTAGTAGTGATAATTATTCATGAAAAATACAAATATAGATTTGTTTACAAAAGAACTTTATAATTGGTCTTTTGAACCTGAGGCTATTTTTCAAGTTTGCATTATTAATTTAGGTAATGACATCTCATTGTATTTAAACGTAAACAAGTACCCCCTTCATTAGCTTTTACTGTCTAAAATATCCAAAAGTCTAATCCATTACAAATCAGTATATTCAATCATTACTCCAAAACTTTTTTGCCATTACTATTCGTTATAATTTCAATGCACAAATTTAGATTCATAGCACACTGGTCTAGTATATTATTTCTGTAGCAAATTCTTTAGATTTGTTTCTGCAGAAATAAAATAACATTTTTCTATATTTTTATTTTTTTCTGTTACATATTATCACCTCTGTATTAAGAATGAAATAGAAAAAAAAAAAACTTGCTGTGTTATAGTAAGTAACCTTTGGAATAGCGTAAAATTCCTACTTTCCCATAGGGTTTTTTATACTGAACTACATTCTGTTTCATTCATCACATTGGCTTCCACATCAGAGTAAATGTGTTTCATTTAAGGGGCCACAATTGGGCTTTTATGTGAAACTTATCTTCCTATTGGCTTCCATTTCTTCTCTGTGATTTACAGGGGAAATATACTAAATGCACATTAAACAATAAACCAGTGATAAGTCATGAAGAGTAACACAGAAATACTACCTGTAGTATAAAAATATTAAGGCTTATCCTACATTGCACTTTAAATGATAATTTAGTAAATTGCAGAAAATTAAAATGTCAAGCCAGACTCTGCCAACTTTATCATTTGCGTATTATGTCTCTATTATTGAAATTGGGTTAGTGTCAGTGTTCCGTAAGACTAGTGTTGGCCCGTTTTCCTTAACCATGTAAATTCCTTAGTACTTCTAACCTTACATATTCTTTAAAATTTTTTTTTAACTTTCTACATTTTTCTCTCTTTTTCTTCTTTATTCATTACTTGACATTGTAACCCTGAGTAGAAAGTCTATCTCATGG